GTATGTCTGATGCTAACTTGCTCTGTCCGCAGCAGATGAACCCCAGCTAAGCATCTCGATGATACACTCTGCTTCATCACTCCTATACTCCCATGAATAATGATGCTTAAGCTTTTGAACGTAGCTTCAATGGCGCCCGCTGCCGATTAGTGGAGACACACGTGCCGAGTTGCTGGCGAACTGCATGCAGAGTCTTTTTAATTTTTAAAGCTCATGTGATGGGTGTTAATCATTGCATTGCTCCATAGAATATAGCAGATGGGAGAGTGGAGTTAGTGTGGCGTCGCCTCTTCAAGAACTTGGAAAGCTCTCCAAATGCTCCAGAAACGTTTAATCTAATCATCATTCCCAACCTTCGCTTTGGACTATCAAAATGAAACAAGTCATCCAGAGACCAGGTACGGTAATGCATCACTCTGCTCCTTAAAATATGTCAACTGGGAATGGAGATCAGGTGTAGCGTTCTCCCTTCCAAATCATGCAGTGGGGAAATGCTTTGCGTCCTCATGTTTATAATTTCATTTAAATTTTTTTCAGAACATTTAAGTCTTTTTCATTATAAGGATGAACAAGAAGAAAATTCTTTTATATTCTTTATTTATTTTTATTTTTTTTTACGATGTGTCTGTCCCATTGACATCGTAATATAGTGAACATTTCTTAATATTAGCCATGTGTTTTTATAATTTTAACATTTTACATGATTGCATTCTATTAGCACAAAATTAATTATCAAACACGTTTAATCAATGACCTTAGTGATCTTAGTGGGACCGATATATCAATTCACTTCTATTGCTAATTACATGCTTATATGATTTAGCGCATTTAGAATAGTGGACAGTAATGGACTATTTTACTTCCATTATGAAGACAAGGATGGGCATCATTCTTCACACCATCCGTATCAACCTACGCCACCCAAACACCACTTCAACATTCCCTTTCCCTGGAAATCCAGGCATGCAATTCCAAGACCCAACTTAGATCATCGGTTGGACTAAGAAAAAGATCATATCGACATCAAGCGGAGCAAACTTAGCGGAGGAGGCCAAGGGATCCTTCTCCAGCAAGAAACGGATGACGCTTGCTTGTCCACCACCAAACCTCGCAAAAGCAAACTGGGCATTTTGATGGTGCTCTCCTCCCTTCACCTCACCCAATGCTGCTGCTGCTGCTGCTTCTCTTTGTGTTGATCAATCTCAGAGAGAAACGTGTTCTATTAGAAGATCAAAATACTGGAGAGTTTGAATCATTTACTGTATCTTTATTCTCCTTGATCTTATCCAATCACTGAGATGCATGAATTAAGGAAGTGGAGCCATCCCTGGAGAAGTTTACGACACACGAATAAGAAAAAAAATACAGGAAAATTCGCTGTGTTTGGGACCAATCTTTGACTCTCAAGCACGCGTAATCTGCACAGAGTCTCACCAAATTCCCACACAAAACAAGCTTCACGTTCTCCACACCTAATGCTGAACCATAACAGCATAAACAAATATATCAGTAAAATAAGGGAGCAAGTGTCCCATAAACAAACACCAAAACTGAGTACAAAGAGGAGGTGCAAACAAGGAAGATCCAATTGCTTCTCACCAACATGGCATGCACTTGGCTACCTTCCCCTGTATTTTAATGCCACACAGGTCTTGTGATAATCTACTCATTTAACCCTAACATTCCATGGGCCCATGAGACAGCAGATGGGACTTGTCTGTTTGATATAATAGACATGGCATTACATTAAGAACTGGCATGGCCATGGACACACCCAGGAGATCCTAGTTTCCATTTGAGCAAGCTGGCATTGCCCACTAATAGATGGAGATGATGATGACTATCGATATCTTGTGGTCCTCGGTCCAATCTGTCACCCCTGGATTGATGACGTTGAAGATGTGACAATGGTGGAGCAGATGGAGCCATGAGTTTTTAATGTGCTTGCTATGATGCCTTGCACCAAGCCACCAGGCAGTGTCTTTGAAATGTACCATCCGGCAACAAGATGACCGGATTCCGTTCATGGAGGCTTTGCTCCTCCTTCTCCTTCCTGTATAGTACACGCAATTGAACATAGAACAAGTCATCGACAGCTATGAAAGAAGTTCTTCTTTTAGCATTTGTTCCTCAACAATTATGTGATAAGACTAAGAAAAACATCCATGTCCTCGTGCTTACATGCGTCAACTAGCAAAAGGACTTCATGAGGCTGCATAATCACTAGAAAACTTGCAATACCAGCAACAAAATTCCAGTGGAGCTCTCAAACTTGTACTTCTCTTTCTATATTACCAAGATCCAATTTTTAATGTTGACTTGATGCAGTTGCCGAATCCACTTTGACAATGTCTTCTCTCCAATATGTAGCTGTCGTCTGTCTCATGGAGTGCCATGTCTCTCACATACAAGGGCAGGTAATGCAGGTGCAATTTTCAATACAACATACTTGACCAAGAAAGAAACTGATCTCCTTCTGTCTCCTGGGCATGAAAAGCACTTACATCCCACCAAGATTATTTCATGAGACATGCATGGAAAAGTTCAACATTGGTTCAACATCAAGCTTAAGCAACCATGGAAAATACCACGAAGGAACATTGGATTCACAAGAGATGTAGCAGTCAAAAATTTCTTCAGCATTGATTACGATATGGCGAAAGAACGATTAGTATTTGTAGTCATAGACGATGACTTCGACCAAGAATCGCAGCTCGATTATCTGGTTGATCCTGTCACCTGTGGTTACTTTGTCATGGCTGTCGTAGATTTCCAAGCTTAAATTATGTTAGTTCTTCCACTCAATGTGCCGAGCTTTTTCTCCTCTCTGCTCCTCAAAATCTGGTCTGACCAGATTTGTGGATGGAATGGATCACCACCAACTCTTCAAAATCTTGTCCGACTTGATTTGTCATCAGATGGATGAAGGAATTATAGCCAAGACTAAATCTGTTGAAGAAGAACGTTCCCATTCATTTCTAATATGATTTGGCTACCGATAATATTACACCTTAAATGGAACATTAAAACGTGAAAGATATCTATTATGTGTATGTAATACATATTCTGTAGAGAAACATTTTTATGAAGTGTTCAAAATGAATGCTAACTAACATGGGTTGAACTTTACATCAAGCTCTGAAACCACTAAACAAGATTCATATCCAATAACATAATGTCGATGTCCAAGTTGGTCTCATGGTCTTATTGGATGGAACACCATTTAGTGCACCTGGACCTAACAAGATTCCATGAATCTCGCACCTTCCTCCTGTTGAAATTTCCCCCTGTTCTTATGAGATACACATAGCATGAAACAAGATCAAGTTTGAATATTTCTAGTGGGATCTGAACATTGACTGTCAAAAAGTAAAACAAATATCTCAATCTAAACTCTTCTTTCTTTTCTTTGTTTCTGAGTGATGGCTGTCAACCACAGCCTTAGTTTTTCTCTCTTTTTTTTTCATTTATTAGATTTGAATTTGGGTCAACCAGTTGTGTCATGTTGAACTATGTTCCTCCATCTTTTCCTTAGCCAAGTGCAGAATTCCATGATAACATAATGGTGATGGTAAATAAATTTCCCAATGACAAGTATAATCCATTATTCTCTGTTATAATGGTAAATAAATTTCATAATGATAACATAATATAATTTTGAATTTGAATCACAGTATTATTTGTCATTTTGGTGCATTTTTAACAGTCCACTTTGATGTCAAATACTCATAAATACATTATTATAACAATTATAAGCACAAATTAAAACCTTGCCAATAGGAAAATGGTGGCCCGATTCAGCCAATGGCTTAATCATATAGGAAAGATAATGAACTTCATCTGTTGCCAACAGTGCAAGCAAAATCCTATCAGACTCTACCATGAGTCCGAAATGGACCCTCAAACATGGAAGTCTTCCTATTGTGACAGCCACAAGAACATGCTAAGTTTCGGTGGTGAGTCTCATGTGCATCCACATCACTATTCAATTCCTATGGTTCACAAATCTCTCATCCACACCAACCATTACAAGTCTATATCAAGATGCGCTCAAAGCACCCTACTCTCATATACACACATTATCCCTAGTCTAATTATGAGAATGTTACAGAGTAGAGTTGAGTAGGGTAGGATAATAGGAACTAAGATCTTTGTCGTGGCGGAATATTATGGTTAGATTTATTGGTGAGTGTGTTGGATTCTCTCTATCTCTCTCTCTCTCTCTTCTTTCGATTCTCATTCACACATTCTGTTCTCCTCTTTCTCTCGTCACGGTATCGAGATTATTCTACTCCTGTAAGGTTATCATCTTTCCATGTGCATGCAATGCGTCGGCCAATCCAACAAGAATCTACTTCGGGTGGTGGGTGGCCTCCTGGGCCCCACCCCACCGCCACACTCATGCTTTGACCAAAAGGCCTTTCGCTCTCCCTTCTTCTTCGCTCGCACCTTTTATCCGGTCCTCAAAGCACTGTGTTTGAATGCTCGAGAAACTACTCGTGCTCACTACTGCTCTTTAACCATTACAACATAACCATCGATGGGCAAAGTATGAGAGCAAGCAGCATGAAAGACCATGTTGGAGTTGTTGCTCCGTCCATGCCACCAAAGCCTTGAGAGGTATCATTACTGCTTTACTTAAAAGGGTGGAATGAGAGACAGAAGCGACGTCGAATGCATATCCTGACATCATCTTCTTTAGATATGATGTAGAATACTTGGGTTTGAGGAGAGAATAATTGTGAGCGACTAGTGGAGATCCCTCGGGAGACTACAAAATCCCTTTGTCGTTTGTTCCCCTCTCCGTCAAGCGTGATTGCCTTCTTCTTTATCTTCAGAGAGAGAGAGAGAGAGAAACAGTAGCAGGGATCTGTGAGCTGCCCACATGGGTGAGCCCATCGGCTGTCCTCTTAAAGCAGTGGCACGCCTGGGCCTAACGGCACCGCTGCAGAGAGAGGAGCAGCGACGAGACCTAAAACAGAGTCTCTCTCTCTCTCTCTCTCTCTCTCTGTGGTTACTATACATACACAACATCACATGGTGGGTGTTGTCACTTTCCTACGGGAATTCCTTTCTTTTAAGGAAGAGGAGGAGGGAGGCTGCTTTGAACTGTAGAAAGAAGCAGAGGGAACAGAGACAAAAATTAAAAGGAAAAGAAAGGCGAGTGGCAGTCGCAAGGATTCTTCTCCTGCCTCTCAATTGCCTCGTTTCTCCCGCTCACGACTCTTCCCTCGGGATTCCTGCTGCCTTCCCCTTGCTTCTGCTACTTATATACTCCATTCCTTCGGCGACCTTGTTCCTGCTGTATGCCTAATCCGAATACTTGGAACTACTCTTTCTTGGCCGCTGCAACCACAGGAAGTCTGTGTTCATCTCCTCTTGGGACCCATCTCTCTCTTCTCTCTGCTTCTACCTTAAAATTCTCTCTGGATATCATTTGTATCTGGAGTTGCAGTTGGTACGTGAGGAAGGAAGAAGATGCACTGCGACGGAGAGAAGTTGAGCATCGACTCAGGCGAGGAATGGCTACAGGTAGGTTGGTACCGATGTTTCCTTCCCTCCACTAGCCCACATGTGGCATCTGTCCCTCACTACCTCTCTCGCTCTATCGCTATCGCCATCAGTCAATAATACTGCATGCTTGTCTTTGTTGTGTAGCTCTTGTCAGGGAACCTTCTCTGGTTTCCATCATTCACACCTCTCCAGCCCTAGCTTTCCTCTCTCCTGCTTTCTCTCAGATCTCAGAGCTCCTTGGTTCAATTTTCTCTGCAGATGATGGGTGAAAGGCTTCGGATCACTGCAAAGAATAGCAGTAACACCACCAGCAGCACCACCACCACCACCAACACCAACAACAGTAGCAGTACCAGTAGTAACACCAACAAGGCCAACATGGTTCGCGCCGATTCCATTACTTCCAATGCTGCGAGGGTTGTTGACAAGCCATCAGCGCAAGATCATCCGCAGGCGCCCCTGAGATGCCCTCGCTGCGACTCCTCCAACACCAAGTTCTGCTACTACAACAACTACAGCCTGTCTCAGCCACGGCACTTCTGCAAGGCGTGCAAGCGGTACTGGACGCGAGGCGGCACGCTCCGGAACGTCCCCGTGGGCGGCGGGTGCCGCAAGAACAAGCGCGCCAAGAAGCCCGGGGCCGCTCCCACGGTGCCGCCGAACAGTAAGCACCCCCGCCCTCTTCTGCCTCCGGATCCGGTCCCTTCCCTTGCGGCGCAGATCTCTACCTCCTCCCACCTCGACGCCACCGCGATTTACGCCCTGCAAACCGCGGCTTCGCCCTCGGACATGAGCCTCAATTTGCCAATTATCTCGAACGGCTTCCATATCCCGTCTTCCACGTCTGCCTTCGATCTGCAGCCTCATCTCGGGGCACTTGGCCTCGGCCTCTCGTCCAACATGCATCGCGATGACGAGTACCAGTTCGGCGAGCTTCGTCCGTTGCTGCCGGTGAACCCGGCCATGATCTCGCTCTTGAACGACTATCCACTCTTCGGGTCGTCTCTGTCGTCCGCGTCACTACTAGTATCAGGCATCAAACAGCCGAAACAAGTGGAGGACTACCAAACCTTGTTGCCCTTCGATGAATTGCAGGCCTCCGGGATGGGCGATAGCATCAATGGGATGATGAAGGAAGTGAAATTAGAAGGGCAGACCAACACCATGACCAACAACAACATGAGCAGCTGCATAGACTGGCAGATTCCATCGGAGAATTCTTTGGATAATTTGGGTCCAGCTGCAGCAATGTACTGGAATGCTGCCATCGGCGGCGGCGGCGGCGGCGGCGGCGCTGGTTGGCCAGACGGCACGAACTATGGATCGTCAGTGGCGCCGCTGATCTAGTATTGTCTCTTTACCTTTCCTCATCCTTCATGGCTGCTGCTGCTGCTTCTTAATTACTAGGTTTCCTAATTGTTCATTGGTAGTAAGAGTAGTGGGCTACAAACTGCATTACATGTTCATCGTGATGGGGCTACGCGGGCGGATTACCGGAGGGAGTGTGGATCGGAGAGATCCTGTCGGTTGCAAACGTCTCAAGCCCCTTGTGTTTTTTCAGTCATTGCGGCATCAAGAAGACCGTTTGCTCCGAGAGGAACCTCGGATCCATTCGGCTAAGAATTAGACATGTACTGTCCATCTCCAATTCGCACTTTGATCACATCAACCCTTGTGAATCGCAGCCGAAGAGGAAGAAGAACGCAGCGGAGATGGAGGAGTGAGTAGATGGTTTCGCATGTATTCATTTATAAACTAGGCATGTCACACCATCATCATCTTCTTCTTCTTCTTCTAATGTACTGGTCATCGAGTCTTCACCTTCTTCTTTCTTCATCATCATCAGTTGGATTGATCTAAGCTGGTGCAGAGGCCGATTAACAAATAAGTTTTTTCTTTCTTTCTTTCTTCTTCTTCTGCTTTCTTTTTGATGTGTTATGAAGAAAGGATTTGGTGCAATAATCTTCAGGAGTGGGGTTTTGTTTCACTTTGCGATGAGTGATGCTTAGTGTTTGCATTTTGGTCTTCCCTCCATTGTAACAGGTTCAACCATGGATCATGTTTCTCTCTCTAAGTTACTGAGTAGTGCTTTTGTTTGTTCTGAAGTGGATTATGTTCAGAAGTGGAATGAGTGTCTTTATGTGCGGTGTCGTGGGCAGAGTCTGTGGTATCTCTCCGGTGGAGCTTTCCTTGCCTTGATGATTATGTCAGTTGAAACTTTGGTAGCCAGGGAGAGATGATGCATCGAGCAGGCATGGCTCGTGTTTCGTACATGTAGAGATCGATGCAGCAGTCGGACAGTCATGCGTATCAACTTTTGCTCAGGTTTGTCTACTTGTATTTGATGGGCATGCAACTCTCTTTCACAAGGTAAAGGATAAAAAGGAATACCGAGGCCACCGGAGGACGGGGCAACACAAACCCTAACCTTTTCCTCCATGTAACCTAGCAATTGGAGCTATTAGATTGGTCTTGACCGGAACAGTACATACGCCACCACCCTCCTCTTTGACCATTCTTGTACTCTTTGTCGTATACATGCTAAGATTACTACACACAGTTAGCAGCTAGACTTGTGGATGAAGTCCCAAGTCTGAGTCGAATGGGTGCATGAGTCTGATCATTGTGACAATTAAGTTTGTCTGTGATGATTAACCAGAAGAAAAAAATCATGTCAATCTAAGATTCTATGCTCGTGGAGAAAGAAGAAGCTCTGAGTCCTGACATTATATGTTCTCCACTTCTGTTTTATGTAATCTAAGATTCTATGCTTGTAGAGAAAGGGAACAGCAAGGTTCTGAGCCCTGACATTATGAATGGCACTTCTAACTTGGAACCTAAGAGAAGGAAAGCTGGTGCTTCTCTAGATATTATGATACGACTTAGATCGAACAGATTTGTCTTTGACTAGAATGGTATGCTTAGTCTTCTTCTTCTTCTACTTAGCCATGCATATAGAACATTATTTAGTTTGTGGTCAGATCATTTCTACTTTGACCAAGAGTTCCAACACCTGAAAATTCATCTTGAGTGCCCATCTAGAATTCATCTGCATGTTGCTTAATTGGGGATCAAAACAAGTTGCCTGTTTTTTGATTCTATGTTCTTAAATACTAGAGTTTAGTTGGTATCATTAATCGGATGAGCAGTTCCAAATAATGATTTCAAGACCAAAGGATGGATGGGCTGGAATCAAATGTGTTCTCAGTAGTTTGGGTGGTGGTGTAAGGATGACATGGTGATCGATTGCACCCCTAGTGGATGGAGTGTGAGAGACGCAACTCCAGTTGTCCTGGAATCAAGAACTGGTCATGATTGCTTGGTGAGGCAAAAGTAAGATCCAACATGATGCCTAAAGAGTGTAAGAGAGGCAACTTTTCCAAAGAGTACCTGCAGAAAGATGGTCCAAGAGCAGCCTGAGGCTCTGCAAAAGAGACTTCGTGAGGCATGTGTAGGGGATAGATAGATTCTATCCCACCCACGTCTTCTGAACTTGCAAGAACAGCATCGTAAGTTAATGGAGTTAAGACTCGAGCTGTTGCAACAACAACAACAATCTATACGCTGAGAATAGTTTTTTGATGGCTGAATAATGGGAGAGATGATGTGATAATTAATCTGAAACTTGATAAAACTGATCATAATCGGATGTATCGAATGAAAACTCAGCGTTTAATATGAACAAGTGAGAATCAAATTCCAGAAACTATCATAATTATAGGGGAAAGATGTATGACGATAAGGTTTTGGAATCTAATTCCAGAAACTATCATAAATCCAAAAGTAAACATTTTATAAAAGCAAGAATTAATTTGTATCCTCCATTTTATTGTAATCATAACTCATTGATAATTCTAATTTCGATGACTCCTCACTAAATTCGGATTTCATGTCAACATTTAAGTTGATGTTAAAGCTCCAATAAACTGCTCTTATCTTAAACAAGCTATCTTTGTGTTGGTAATTGTTTGTTGTGTTGATCAGTAACCTCAACATTTCAAACCACCCTTTTATGAGCTCTTAAGAATGTCAATCCCAATCATGGATCCTACAAGGTAGATATGAGATTGATAACATAGGAGAGTAGCCACATATCCTTCTACCCTAATATCTCTCCATTCTATCTCCCAGACTAGCTTAGTATTTTGCAGACATATTGAGTGTCCATTGTTTATTGATGGGCAACACTAATTCTTTCACATAAAGGACTCGATTGTTTAGCTAGAGAAATCACTCTTCATATCTTTCACATGTCCAGCCAAATAGCATGATAATTAAGTTGTATATTGTATCCTCAAGTAATCAAAAAAATTGTTTATCATAAAATAAAAGAAAATAATCATATTTTTGATAAATAAAGTTTCACGATAATATCGATAAGTAAAGTTATTTTCTAACAACATCGATAGATCTTGAGTCACAATAATGCAAATTTAAGAATTACATGAAGAAGAATCTAAATAAAAGGTAACATGTTAAAAGGAAAATGAAATGAATATGAATCAAGTAAGGTAGGTTTTTGATAAAAGGTAAATGACAAAAGGCAAGATCCGAATTTAGTACCTTGTGATGATCTGTCAAAGCCTTTATCAACTAAGCAAAGTAAAACTTCAAAATTTGTTGAATGAGGTTTCAAAATCTCCATTTCATCTTATGATCTATCAAAGTTTTTACTTTGTTAGTAAACTTAAATTTTGTTCGGTACGATACGATACCGGTATATCGAGCGATACACCATGGCGTACCGAGCGATATACCCTGATGTACCGAATAATTTTATATATTTTCTTTATTATTGTAGCACTATAACGATACCGGACGATCCACATATTGATATGCCGTTGAATCGATACATACCGCTCATACCGGATGGTACCATTGGGTACTGCATACCATGTCTTCTATCCCTGCCTTTGTTTGAGAATTTTTTTTTATTTTTTTACCTTAAAATGCAAAAGTGAAATGTTCTCTCTCTCTCTTCTCCTTGTGTCTCCTATTTTTCAGATCATTTTTGCGGTTTTCTGGCCAATGTAGGAAGTTGCGCTTCTTGCATGGCGGCGTCGACATCAAAGCTGTGAGTGGCCTCCCCTTCTGTCGGGTAGAAATCCTTAGAATACACAAAAAATGTATTTATAGAACAATTAAACCCCCAATTTAAAAGTGTTTTTTAGCATAAAAATGTTTCCATATCTTTTGTCATCTTTCTTAATTATTTATCCTTCGAGCGAGAGGTCTTCCGAAATAACTATCGACAGTGTTGAGGGTGATGAATCACGTGAACTACAAGCATATCGATGCTGCAATTGCATCAGTCAAGCAAAAAATATGTATAATTTCTTTTGAAAATGTTCATAGTAGCACAACAATTCAGCTGTTCATCGATCATACCAGTTGCTATGGAGATTGCTTACTACAACGTCAGGTTCTCTTTTCTGATACCATGGAGGCACGCCCAACCTTCCATTTCAGATACCGAGATATCATCGAGGTACTGCAAGTAAGTTTCTTTGATTTGTTGCACCTGCATGAAAACATAATAAAGAATAAGGTACTCATAACAATTGATTCTTTTTAAGGTATGGAAAAAGGAATTTGTCTTCTGATGAACTTGCTTCACAATTTAGTCCTTTTAATGATGATATTAAACTTGTCCAGGAAGGAAGAAAGTAGGCCAAGGAGGTTAAAGAAAGCTCTATGGATCGGGAGATCAAGACAAGGTAATCAATCATGGAATAAGTTGGACCAGAGGGGGGCACCTGTTCGGATAGGATTCCCGATAGACCAATGTTTGCGCCGGGCTTTCCATAAGAAACAATATCCTTTGCCAACTCCAATAAAGGGTTGAGTAGTATATTTGCAATGATGATGTCAAATTTCCCCTTAGCAGATTTCAGTTCAAGGTTAAGCAAAGGTGTCTCTTCTGGATCCATGTTGGTTTCGGCATCGGTACACGATGAGTCGGTTTTGCTGGGAACCAAGTAGACCAACATTTTGCTGGAATCCATATCATTCGATGCAATATTCTGACGAGCTGAAGTAACTGCTTGTGGGTCTATGTCTATTCCAATAGATGCGGCAGCTCCCATCTACATACAAAACCATATTAAGATTAGATGGGACTTCAATAATCTTCCACAAGTTGTGCTAGCTTATAGCGAATCATCCATGACTTGTGTTAGCTTATAGCGAACAATAGAAATGCAGGACAAGTACAACTACAAAGCATCAGATGATTAGGATAGCATTAAAGTTTTGATTTGCAGGATTTTTCAATTAAAGGCACATGCCTACGGTACTAAACTACATGTTTAGAATACTTTATTAAAGCAACCAGAGATGACTTAGCAGAGCGCAATGTTCATAAATAAGCACCGTATCCACTATGATATCTTCTTACTGCTGTGAAACCAGATGAAGAGTCCAGACACACAAGAAGTAATGGAATTCATATGATAACAACCATCAGCATTGTGATAAACCAAACCTTCACAGCAGCAATTCCTAGAATTCCAGATCCTGTGCCATAATCCAAAAATTGTTCTCCACCATGTATTAACTTGCGTAGCAACATCAAACACAACTTCGTTGTTGGGTGTTCCCCTGTCCCAAAAGCCATTCCCGGATCAAGGAATATGTTTGTTGCTTGCAAATCCTGGACATCAACAAACAGCCTATAGTCATTGCATATGTGAATAATTTACATCCATTCCTGTGAAATATGTTTTATTCATCAGTTTAGGCAGATACACGAGCATTGAGAATGGAAACCATGAAAGTGACTTTCCAAAAAGAAGCATCAACTTCTATAGTGAATTGTACACTCTACACAAAATTGCATACATCATGGTTTCAGATAACACTAAAAAAGAATAATCACTGGTCAGTAATGAAAAAGGATATCATCAATAATGGTTGGAACATGAGTATCATAGAGAAATTTAAGATATCATAACGATTCTATTTAAGAATAATTCATCAAAATATTTGCATAATGATCTGGCAATTGTAACATTATTGGATTTCAATTAAAAACATGCCGCAGTCATGCATCCAAACCGAAGTGTCTGATCTTCCAGATCCATATTTCATCAACACACAATACATATCTCATTTATTTATCAATTTAAAAAATGAGAATCATCTACACTAATAACTAAAAATGACAGTTCAAGTCAAATCATACAGGGGGCTCTCTCCATTTGGGGACAATCCAGAGACCAGCAGTAACCTCAACAGGATGAAAAGTTTCCTGCATGGAGATCTAAGTTTTAGTCAATCAGGAAAATATAAACCTCAGATATTTGCATCAGCTACAATTGGAAGTCATGAAATTTATGCCTTCAGGTTAATACAATTAAAATTCACATCAAATTCGGAAGGAAAAAAAAAACATAACAGTATTTCAAACTAAAAAGAATAATATGTATCTCATCATCTTTGGAAAGATATAAAAGGTAACACTCACTTCGACCAAGAAAAAACTGGAAAAAAGAGAAGCAAAGGTCTTCCAGGACCATGTCAATCAAACTAAGCTTCCTTCAGAAAAATGGAGAAAAATATTGCGGAATAGTGTCACACCTTTGCAACAAAGTTATGATTTAACAATAACAACAAAAATATCAAATTCTAATTAAAATGCTCTCAGGTCTGATTAAAATGGGACCCCCCATCTTATATGCCCACAGCTCATTTTTCACATTGCCATTGGATTTTCAAATTTAGGAAAACACAAATTCAAATCTGTGACGGAGTTTTGTGATCTTGCAAAAGCAAAGAACACTGTCCCAAATTTTAGGCATACATTGAATTCAAAAAGAGTTTCTCTGGCGTGCAAAATCCTTATGTGCTCTATCATGGGATTTAGGAAAACATAGTCCTGTATCTATGGCTTAATGGCAATCACGGAACTTCAGTTACTTATCACAATACGCATTAATGACTAGTAACTAGATCCATTTGACAAAGAATGGTTTGAATCTTAAAGACCTCAGTTTACATAAGAACTGATTCACTGGGCTGAATATTATTGCATCTTGTGCTCCTCTGATGCTGTCAACTAGCAAATAAATAAAAAAAAGGAAAGACCAAACTCAGTGCACAAGGCTCCTGCCAGTGCAAGGTCTAGGAATTGTGATGCCACAACAACCATGCATTGAGAAACATTTATATTAGGAGTGTAAGTGGCTTTGATGGAGCTGAACAAAATAAATTTTAAAACAAATCATGCAACAAAACATGATTTTCCCTTGCATAGCCAACATTAACTTTAGAGGAAGAACAGATGAAGGAAAAGAATCTCTTTCCACTGTTGGCATAGAGTAATTATGAACTAATCTCCAACACAAGAATTTAAAGATAGTAATGACTTGATGAATGGATGTTAACCAAGAAAGAGCTCAAGCTAAATAATGCATACATCAAGAAAGAAAATTAAGTGACTGATAGGGGATAACCTGTACACCTTTTACCCAATCACATTCTTCACCCACTGAGACTTCATAATTTGGTCCATAGTTCAAACCAATTGAGCTGATGGCATGTGAGATGCAAGTATGCACATCTTGATTAACTGCAAATATGCAAGTTATCCAAATCTGCACACAACAAATATAGATAATATACACAAATCTAATAAGGTTATAGCAACAGATAATGTTTGTGAAGAGAGCATGATTGATTGGAACATACCGGTCTGACCAACAAGGGAACATACAGAACGCAATACATCTAAATTTCAACCATGTGATGTTTTATGCAAATTAGCATTAGGCTACAATGAGCATAGTATGAGGTTTTAAGATACATGGACTCAATACAGAGAAAATATTGTCTTCAAGATACAAGAAAGACATGTTCAGCTTCTTGAACATTGGACATGCTTATGATTTATAATTTAGAAAAGATTAGTGGACATGCAATGACCAGAAGAATATAAGTTCAGAAGGTCAAAGATATCTTTTCACAAAATATAGATATACAATCTCTAGGTGAACAGAAGTCCCAACTTAGTACAAGCATCTTCAGGCTAATTATGTTACAGTAGAAGCAATGAATGGTAATAAATAGTCTCATAGCTTCGTTTGGATTGAGCATTTAATCTTATCCAAGTAATAACTGCATTCACATTTTCATATTTAATATTCCACCTTGCTAATCTTAATTATGTGGTTTACCTTCATCATTAACTATCATGTTTGTTCCTATAAGTTGTTTCAGGAGCAATGACTCCACATGATAGACTCTTGAAACAATACATAGATAGAAAAGTGCATGAAACATGTAAAATCTCAAAAGAAGATACAGACCAGAAGCTGGTAACAATCTTAAAGAAAAAAAAAGAAGGGTCGATAGCTCACCTCATCAAGATCATGAGAATCACTTAATTCATCCATGCTAGTAGAACTAGCACCAAAGCACAGTAGAGACTCTGAAAGTATATCCTATAACATGAGATTTGTCAGTCGATAATGCCGATAATGCCGAATTGTAAGATTCTCCTCTAAGTAGCCAAAAAGAATGTGGTTAATAAAAAGAATTATTTGATGTTAAATTAAGTTTAAAAAATCAATAAGCTTATAATATGCCACAATGTGGTTAATAAAAATGAATTATTTGATATTAAATTAAGCTTAAAAAAATGAATAAGCTCATAATATGCTACAATAGTATATCTGTATAAGAGAAAATATTGTGTCAAGATCAAAGTTGAAAAAAGTAACTAGATCTAAATTTGACCTGTGCATCAAACTATACTTTTAGGTGACAAACACGAGTACACAAAAAACCATGAGGGAGGCTACTATTTGAAGATAATGAACACAAGTTTAGAATTGTCATTTATTGGAACATTAACAGCTGCTCCTTCGCAAGACATGTTGTAACATAAGAAAGATATAATAATTCTATATAACAGTGGTATGCTTTTAGATAACCATAAAAAAACCACAAACAGGTACCAGCTTAGACGATACAAGCTAAGCAAGGATAAAATCAAAAAGAAAATGAAAAATATTTGCACCCAGACAAGTACTCTCCGCAACAAAAAGGATAATTTTTATAAAATCTTGAAGAAAAAAAGGAAAGACAATTGAAAATCATCTTACTTACGATGACGCGAGAATTCCAAGCTCGATTTTAAGACCTAAATTACATAAAGTAGTCGATGCGAAAAAAAAAATCAACGAATATCTCGAAGAGCCCACTTACAGCGTCACATTTGCGGCATCGAATGCGGACCGAGAGGTAGGCCATGGCGGCGCCTTCATTCGTCTGCGTCGACCGAGAGCAGAAAGGAACTCTTTCGCTTGGTCTTCGCCGCCTCAGATGATACAGGGAGAAGAGTCGGGGGCAGCTGATGGGTTTCAGGGCGGCGGCTGTTGGCGCAACGGACAAGGAGTTAGGAGGTACGGCGATAGGAGGAAGGGGTTGGGCAGGGATTTGGACGGCCGAGAGGTATCTGAGGAGGCGAAGGCGTTGGAGGCGGCCAAACATTTTCGCCCGTCACCGTCCTTGCGCCCAAAGGATAGACATAAAGACTGTTGCGGTTCGTCGCGACATGGGGAGTTAGAGCTTGCACACCGTCCGATCCTCCCTCAGGCTTCTAGATGCGCGCCATCTCATCTCCAAATTGGAGTCGTTACTTCAGTCGTAGTGCCGGTGCTAGATTTTATGGCTCACGGCCACATTACCATTCGCGAGTGTAGGTCGTGCGGGGCGCCACCCAATACGACATCGAACCTTTCGAAAGTACCTATTCGCCGATGCCTGCTTCAAATATCTCGACCGTTTGCAATCGACATGATAACCCTAATTCCCCTTCTAACATCTGTTCTCCGGCGACACAAAACGAGGTGAAGCAGGAGATCTTTAGAAGGATACGAGGCGAACAGCGGCGGTGGAATTCCTACAAACAATATGGAGCTTGTTGTCACATAGTTTCATGCCTATTGGTAGCGTTGACTTTTGCATTCTGCGGCCATCTCATGTGCCGCAAACCTTCAAGAAAGCTTTTGTCAAGCTATTTTACCCCCTTTTTCTTGCTTTTTGTCCATCTGGTTGCATCATTGTCACAACTAAATCAAATCAAGAATGTAGAAAAGCATGCATGACAGCATTCAGTGGTTTACCAAGTCGTTCACCAAGCTCTCCAGTGAAGTGTAGGAAGAGCCTCCTTCCTCCACGGCCCTTCTGCATGAAGCCTTCATCTCCTGCACCCTCCTCCTCACCTGCTTCCCCTCCTCCGTGTCCTCCTCCATCAGGAACCGTACACCCCTCTCCAGCTCCGCTCCAGCGACGAGGTTGCCGCTGCTCGTCCGGTCCACCGTGAGCTCGAGGGCCACGCCGGCCTCCCTCGCAAGCCGGAACGCCAGGTAGTGCTGCTCCGCGTGGATCGGCCACTCGAGCATGGGCACACCGTGCCACAGGCTCTCGAGGCACGAGTTCCACCCGCAGTGCGTCACGAAGCCGCCCACCGCCGCGTGCGACAGTATCTCCACCTGCGGCGCCCACGACCGCCACACCAACCCCCGCCCCTCCGTCCTCTCCATGAACCCTTCCGGCAGCACCTCTTGCAGGCTTAGATCGTCGCCGGTGCCCCTCAGCGACCAGAGGAACCGGTGCCCGGTGCTTTCCAAACCCGTGGCCATCTCCTTCAGTTGCTCGCGCGAGAATGTGCTGATGCTTCCGAAGCACAGGAAGACCACCGACGCCGGCGGTTGCTCGTCGAGCCATTTGATGCAATCATGAGGTTCCTTGCTATCTTGTCGTGAAGCTTGACGTCCAAGCACTGGTCCGACCGTGAAGATCGGAGGAGTCGGATGATCTGGTACGTAGACTCCATCTACTAGAGCTTCCAGTGTCGATGGCTCGAGCTCGAAGAAGGTATTCAAGATCATACACTTGGTTTCTGGAAACCGCCTGCCGTGGTAGAGGAACCTGGAACCACTCATAGGTCTCTCTCCTACTTCTCATCACGAACGACGGCATGCAGCGGGCCGGAGTCGGGGACATGCCGGGGAGCTCGATGAAGGCCGCCTCGTCTCCGTCCAGGACGACCGGGAGTGTTTCTTCTTATCATGGAGCGTCGGGGCGTGGAGCAGGAGAGCGAGCGTGGCGGCGCTGCTGGTGAAGTAGTGGTAGGCGGGGATACCGAGCTCGTCGGCCGCGTCGATCATCGTCGTGGCGAAGAAGTCGATGACAAGCGCGGCGGCAGGGGAGGAGCGCAGCCTCAAGATGGCGGTCTTGAGGCGCGGCTTGTGCAGCTCGACGTAGCGGGAACAGGACGCGCCGACCTGGTCGCACTCCTCGAAGAACTGCGCGGGTGGCAGCACCGGGAGCTCCTCGAACCGGACGCCAGCGCCGATGGAGGAGAGTGACCGGATGCAGGACTCGGTCTCGAAGCGGAGGCACGGGGCAGGAGTCGTCATCACGAGGACGGTGACGGAGAGGCCCCCGCCGCCGACACGGGCGAGGAGGCGCGACGCCATCTCCATCGTTGATGTCAGGTGGCCTGCTGCAGGGATCGGCAACAGGAACAACTCCATCTTCGTCGTCTCCGTCAGGTGTGGCATGGCGAAGAATGCTTCAAACAGAAGACTATACGACGGTAGAAGTTTTTGCACGTATATAGAACTCTGATAAGCCTCCTCATATGAACTAGATAATATGATATTAAATTATATCGAACTGATGTCAACTTTTATGTTGCTGTACTTGATGTTATAATCATGAAGGCCTTCATATAAAGCAAGATAAATTCCCATGTAACAGTCTGGCACGCCACATTCAGAACATTTCTATTTTGATTCATGAACATACAATAAAGCTTAGCAGTAACCAATTAAGCAGGCAATGAGAAGTTCAACAAATAAACCATCCTAGGATCATTGTTGGGAAGAACAAGGTTACCTCTATTGAGAGCCAGATTGCTGTAATGCCAGTGATAACAATTTGCTAGTAAGGCAAGAATTTCAAGTTGAACAAGTCAAACATTCTTTGTTGTGCCAATTTTGATATCCTTCATGGATAGTCAGTATGAAGGGCAAATTTTTTATCAATAAACAAGGCCTGAATATGCACAGTTCCACCCATCTTTGATGGATTCCTAAAGCGACCTTTCTGTCGAGACACAGTTCTTCACAATTTATCTGGATAGCCATGCCAAGATTGAAGTAGCATCCTTCTGAAATCTTCTAATTCTATATCAGTGTTATGTGCAGCAGTTGAATTTAAGGAGAGAAAGGAAACCAAGCATTGCCGAATGCTTATCTAGGCTTGCGTTCTCAGATGGTAGACCAAAACCTGAAAATATAACAAGATGGAGTAAGAAGCAGAACTAATCCACAGAAGGTTATCGGGCCATGTTAGTTGGGATAGCTCACCAGCTCCCCTTGATTGCCGGTGAAAGAAGAGTTCAGTGTTGTGACAGATTCTTGTCCTTCCAATTCCTGTAGCCCTACCAGAGGATCTTCAGTAGCCATGTCCGTTGAGCTCAAGGATTTGATTGCTGAGGCTCCACCTTGAAGCATCTTTGCATATATCTGAACTTCTTCTGCTGGTACAGATGTCTGAAGAGCAATATACTGCATAGACATGAACCCATAATTTCCAGTTTGGAAATGTTATCTTCCAGCATTCAAAATAATACCCAAACAAAAATATGTGAAATAAAACTAAGACTCACTTCACATAGGTGTCTAATTGACAAGGATGGTTGGCAACAAAGGTATGGTTGTTGCAAACTTGGTACCCTCTCTTTGTCCAATGGAACCAGGGTCAGATGTACATCAAACTGAAAAATGAAATGGCAAAAAAAATTTCACGGGATCTTTTATGCAAATTAGATATCAAAAGTTGATTACTGTCCTTGCTTTCATTGTACCTCATCAACAGTGTGATCTAAATTACGGAGGTAGTCCACCAATTTGGTCATGCGACACTTAACCTTCCGACCATTTGTACCACTCGTATTACCATGTCTAGTTTGACTGCGTGCACCATTCTTGCCCCATGCAAACGCCTCTCTGTTACCCACTCGCAACGGTAATGCTCCATTGTTTTCTCTGTGAAATTCAAAATCATCATTGTCCCCAACACCAGCATCAACATTGACAGCTGTTCGAGCTGGTGAAAACTGCAGTGCACCCCACCTCTTACGCCTTTTCTGCCTTCTATCAGGAGAGGGCTCATCGGCAGATGAGTAACTTTTGCCCACATCATTAACATTTGCTTCCTCTTCATCGTCATCATCAAAGACTGCCATAGTACCACGACCACCATTCCCACCCCTCCCACTAACATGGTTCCGATAATTTCCCTGTGATCTTCTCACAAAAGCTGCAGCTGTGGCTTTTGCTGTTGATCTTCTCCTGCCTAGAGATTCTGTTTGTCGTTGGAATATCTCAGCCATGGATGCTTGTAACTAATGTAGAAAGAGATTACTAATTATAGTGTATGAGCATAGAAAAGGATCAAAGACTAGAATGCATTCATATAGACGAGACTACCTTCTTGTTGCAAGACATCTCTTCTTCATGGAAAGCAAGTTCCTGCAGCCAGGCATTTCATAAAGAGTGAAGCAACCACATTTACTGAGCAGAAAACAAGCTGCAAAAAATCCAACATATAAACAAAAAAGACACAGAATTACTTACCTCTTCTTCATACTTATCGATATCTGGATATAGAGTTGCAATGATGGTATCATAATTGGAATCATCTCTTAAAGAACGTCGACTTGCACAATGAGTGCGGCATGCAGGACATTCATTATTACTGCATAAAAATTGGTATTTCAACTAGTTGAAGTTTTTAAATACCGTTTAAACTATTCAAGACTACATGCTTTAGGAAACCTCTAGTTACATAGAAGGGACAGCACTAAGTGTAATATCAAAATAATCACTCAGGTGTACCGTCAACATAATAACATATTAAAAGAACAGATAATGTCTTGTACCATACCCAAGTCTCATTGATTTGTCGATGCATGCCCTACAAAACCGATGAAGGCATTCCATAACTGTTCTTGTCTTTCTGATTATACCTGGTATATAGAACGCTTCAGTGATCCTGAACTTTATATCAGAGTGAGATGTACTAAGGTGTCAATGCATTTAAGGGAATGATGTTGGTTGGAATGCCACAAAGATTATGTCAACACGATATTTAGTTGCTTGATCATAATGGTTTTTCACCACTTGGTTTTCACGTGCCAGTAATATTTCATACACTTGAGCATGAGTGAGAATTTGAGGTTTCCAATGCACTTAGAACTTAGAACTACCAAAAAAATCTACAGACAATTTAATGAAGAACTAAACATACATTATTTTGCTAAATTTATATTTAGGACATGCTAACCAAAACATTTAAACAAAATGTCCCCAGAAGCAGCACATGTAGATATATTTTTTTTGCAAATTTGACTAAACCATGAACTGGATCAATGTCAAGACAGATCTTTGAGCAGATACAACAGAATATTAATTTCATCAACTGCATCTATTTCAACTAATATTGAATAACAAAAGAATTAATTGACACATATTTGAAACAATCACATTCCATCCTAGCTCCCCCACCATATGGATATTTATAAATCTGCACATACATATAATATCTGTCTGTACATGTATAATTCATGTGTATGAGTAGCTCGGTGAAAAAAATGCTAACTACAACAAAAATCTTGGGCCATACAAATGGAGTAGCATAGATGACTTTTGAAGGGATTGCCAAAATATATGAACGAACCAAGGGAACACTAATTATCCATGGTACAAATTAATTTTCAGCAAGGAATATGCACTAAAATTCAGAATTATTGTAATATAAGAAAGCAGATTAAGGGATAACACTCAAACAAGAAGACAAAAAGGTTACATCTGCAGATTAACTCCATGTCAAGGTGACGTAAACAACTGACAAGTAGAAAATTTCCTTTGCAGCATATCAAAGGGACTGTGAGTATATTTGATGTCTCGGTAGAATTACATCTTTGTTCTCAAATTACCATTTGAGTTTAAAAAGAATGTGTGGACAGGTAGGGCAAGTAATATTTGAGATGAACTAAATGATCTGAAAGCTCTTACCATGGAGATAACTTGTTATGTTCAATGTTAAGTTCATTAGTTCAACCTACTAATGGTTGATAATTTCAAATGCATTACTTTTTAGTCCCCAATATTTCAGAACTAGTGGATATGATCGAATAGAGAAAAGCTCTTCGAACAAGTAAAATTTTAGAGAACAATTCTGAATCAAAAGGCTAGTCCTGCTTGTGCCAATGATACACATTGAGAATCAGGTCATAATTTCCATGTTAATTTGATTGTTCTATCACCTATCATAGATGAGCAGGGTGTAACAAAGAATATTTGTTAGCTTGAAAGATCCACAATTATTTGATTTTGAATAATAAACAGAGAATATTTGCATTCTTGAAAGATCCACTATTATTTGATTTTGAATGGTCATACATCTTATAAAACAACAATAGGGACAGAAAATGAAGTATTTATTACAAGGTGTGTTGTGAGGATTAATACATAATGAATATGCCATATTTGCTCAGACAATCAGCAAGATGATTGAAAACGCAAAAAACAACAAATGGGATAAATTACTTTCAGGAATCAGGAGTATCTTCATTTTGGTTTATCATAATATTTACTAGTCCTGACATAGATGCCCGTTGTGTAATCCAAAGAAGTATGTCATAGAACCTAGAAAGGTACATATTTGAAAGTACGCTTGGACTATCTATTGTATCAAAGCGGTCTATAAGATTTGGAAAGTGTGAGATAGCCTATTCTGTATGACCAGCTAGAACCTCTGAATACAGATGACTATCAGTCTATCCCCATCTTCAAAGCGACATTCTGCCATCCTATGACTCTTCTATTGAAAAATCAGCTCTCTTTCTTTTGTGTCCTTCGATTAAACAACAAGATATCCTCTCATTTGTACCCCCAAACCCCTCTCTCTCCCTCATCCCACCTATACGTTTTCTTCCTTGTCTCTTTACTTTTTCTATCTTTTGTAACGTCCAAAACAAAGCGGCTGACTTGACATATTGATATAGGCCACACCGCCACAGACACTGGTATAACTTTGAGGCAAATCAAAAGATACAACACATTTTCCCTTTCGTGTCACTCCCTTCACTTTTGATATATTATCTCGTCTTCATCTTTCAAACTGCATGAGCTGCTGCAAAATGAAACAAAAAGATAATTCTGCTTGCCAATCCAAGTCACCAAATCCCTACCTGACTTCGGTTGAATCTTGTTTTTGGTGTTTTCTCCATATCAAGCTTTCTTGAAAAGGAATGAAATTTTAAAACAAAGTTGAATTTGAGGAAACTAATTATTATTCTACCATTTATCACTTAAGAAAGAGGTGAAAAAATAGGCTGGTTAATGATAAATGACGACATCCACTATAAAGAAAGCGAGAAAGGAATGAAATGCATATGTTTAATGAATAAAGCACATCATGTACCATGGAACTACATTTTTTCCATATCCAATCATCAAATATACAACATTAAAAAGAAGCCATATCGTTAGAAAACCTTAAAATGTATAAACTACATTAGAAGAATAGTTTAATCTTAAAATGATTGGTAACTAACAAAATAGTTTAATTTACATTGAAAAAGTAGTTTTAAAGTTAGAAATATACTTCCATGAAACACTAGGTATAAAAGTATATACTAATATTCAATA